GCTTTACTCTGTCCTGCATGCTCAGTACCTTTCAAGTACTGACGCATACGTGCGCTACATCTTCTCGTGATGTAGGTTCAGGTTCTCAGCATCCAGATCACGCTTAGATCGATTCCCGATCTTCAGTTCAGCAGCATCAGTGGTGAGTCCTCATTCTTCGAGGACTAGTGACATGTTTATCTTTATTGCTTTTAGTCTTTAGTTTCAGTTTTTGCTAGATCTAGTTGGGGCATGTCCCAACATTTCTAGTCAGTTTAGAGGCTTATTTCAGACATAGTTAGATTCAGCTTAGTATTGAGTTAATATATTTCTTTTGTATTAAACTCTCAGATTTGATATATTCAGCTATAGTATATAGGTATTCCCCATCTTTTCACATTTATTTATGATTTAGCTTCCGCATCAGTTTATTATCTTTAGTATGCTTATGATCATGCCAGCAGGGTTAGCTTGGGATCACTTGTGGTCCTAGGTCCCGTGTCCGTGTCTCGGGGGTAGCTCGGGGCGTGACAATATGTTGGCAAATGAAGAAGATTTGGAGATGTCATTATCAAGTCTCTCTATAAAAGATGAAGATAAGACGCTCTTTAACAAAAAACAAGTTTTTCAAAAAAAATAAATGAAAGGAGAAGCTCACATCGGGGGGGGGGGACTAGAAGAATCAACATAAAAAAAGTGAGCGACATAAAAAGGAGACTAACCAAAGCTTCACCAAATGGCAAACAGAGAAGTGCTATAATTGTAAAAACAAACGACACTACACAGAGATTGTTGGTATAAGAAAGTTTAAGGTAACTTAGCTACTTCTATGGAAAACAAGCAAAATGAAGAAGAATCTTGGGATTTTGACACCTTTTATACAGTTGAAGAAAGCAATCAACTGGAGGAGTTTGTCACCTGTAACTCTTACAAAGAAAAGAGATTGCACTTTCAATTGTAAGTGAGAAACTAGTCCATTATTAACATGATTGGATAGTTGATTCAGGTTGTTCCAATCACATGAATGGTAATGAGAAAAAGCTCATCGACATGAGCGAACATAAAGGCGGTCAAGCAGTGGTGACTGCAAGTAATTAAAAATGCCAATAACTCATATTGGCAAGAAAAATTAGTGTCTTATCACATCTCAAGACAAGTGGAACTTGAAAATGAATACCATGGTCCAGGTATGAAAAAGAACTTAGTATATGTATTGCAACTAGCAAAAAATTCTTGAAACTATGTCTTGTTTGGGTCAGATGACGTAAAAATATACCAAAACGTAAAAAGTTACAAGCACTCATGTCATGGAAGGGAGAAGATTCTAATCAATCTACATCATGTCAGTGGAGACAACTTACGTTGAGAAAATACAGAGTAACGAAATAGTTGATTAATGGCATGCCACTACAAGAAAAACACCCTCTAAGGAAGGGAAATCTGGTCCCAAAAAGTCCAAATCTGGTCCTAAATAGTCTATTGCGACAAGGAAAGGCTGGTCGCCTCCCGTCCCAATAGGCCTCTTCGCTAAAGGTTAATTGCGACGGGCTCCGTTAGCTGGTCCATAAATGTTTTTAGAGACGGAAGCAAAGCTGGTCGCAAAAGTAATTTTAGAGACCATATATTTCATCCCAAATAGTTGCTTTTCTTCTTTAAAAACTAGTTATTTTCTAGTCATTAAATCCCTGTAGCGACGAGAAACTACCTCGTCGTAGATCACTTTTTTGTGACGGGTAGCTACCACATCCTAAATTAACCTTTAGGGACGAGAAATAGTTTCGTCCTAGATGAACTTTTAGGGACGAGCAACATTTTTGGTCTCTAATTGACCACCACTGTTTCTTACGTTTCGTATCACAAATTTAAAAATATTTATCAATAAACATAAGATTGCGACAAAAAGTCTTCAAGCAAAAGGCTGATAAAAATATAAAAATTGGGTCACATCCCATGATTTTAATTTCAATATTTTCTTAACAAAAAAGCCTAGCTTATCAACATCTCAAGCTAGACTATGATATGAAGTTTTGCATAACTTCCATAGCAAAATAATAATAGTCTTTTGCATCTTCTAAACTTGCATCTTGACTTGTAACTTCAATCTTCAAAATCTGTAAGTACAAAATATTTGAAAAGACCATAAGTAACCATTGGTATAGATAAGGAGTAATATGTAAATTTTACACCAAAATTAGTTAAACTGCTTATCGCAAAAAAGTTCTAAAACTCAGCGAGAGCATGCGTTGTATCAAGAGAAGACAATAGAGGCAATTCCGCAAGGAACTAGTAGCAGCATGATAGAGGTCTGATTTTAGATCTAAATTCTAATCAATTACTGTTGCTGAAACTTTCTAGTTAAGAAGTGTGAAGGACACATCTAATTGGAAAGAAATTCTATGGACATCAGGAATCACTCAATCTGCCACTGATTAGCATTTGAGACTCTATGAATTAGATGGTAGCATAATTGGATAAACATAGTTAGATTAATGCTACAGATTAGAAGGAGACTTATCTAACCTTGCCAATTGCAGATGTTGTGTTCCCAGCAGCATCAAGAGCATCAATCTTTTCACGAATGTTATGGCTCATTCCAGCCATCTCTGCAATACCACCAACATTGTCGCTGATAGGGCCATAAACATCTATTGCGAGCCCAGTGGCTATAGTGCTAAGCATTCCCAGAGCAGCATCTGCAATGCCATACATATCAGCTAAGCTGAAGCTCACGTATATAGAAGCAGCAATGGAAAATATGGGAATGATAACAGATTTATATCCAAGAGCCAATCCAAATATTACATTTGTCGCAGCACCAGTCTTGCAAGAATCTGCCACTTCTTGTACTGGACTGTAAGATTTTGCAATAGTAGACATTAAGAACATAGATTAGATACTACATAACTTTCCCCCTCCCCAAAATATAAAAGAAAAAGAGACAAATAACAGGCATAAACGCAATGTTGCTAGATGCTCTTAGATTATAAAAGTACTGAAAAAAGAGTTCAATTGTTTTCTATCAGAACTTCAAGTCTAAAACGTCCTATCAGAACTTCAAGTCTGAAATTTCAAATCTGAACCAAATTCGTTCATGATTGAAATTTGTTATGGTTTCCTCGTAGTTGTAGAGTTTCCTATCAGAACTTCAACTGTCTATTTAGTAGTGTATCACAAGTCTAAATCGTCTATAATTTTCAAATTTATAGGCCTTGATGTAGAAGGTTGGGAGACAAAAACAGATTGCATTCGATAGTGTATCACAAGTCTAAAAGGTCTACAGATTGGATTCACAATGATTGCATTAAATCCTAGAGAACTATCGATTGTATTCACAATGACTTTTATATCGTAAAACTTCCTTGTTAAAGAGAATCATTACGTATAACTATAAATTGAGTCAGTTCTGGTTAAATTATTCCATCTAGAAAGAACCATGATTGATGAAACAATGGTGGACTATGAGTGGAAAATTACGATCATCAATATGCTATCAACAATAAACTAGAAAATTGGGAAGCTAAAATGAGATGTTCTTCAATGAGATACCACACTGTAGGGAGTTGTTATCGACAATGAACTGTAAAATGAGGGCCTAAAATGAGATATGCTTGCAATAATCATAGAAATGTAAGCCACCATGCAGAAATTCTTCAACTATATGACGATTTAAAGAAAATGGACCTAACACATCTCCACTACTACCATGATGAATGCAGTATTTGTACTTCAGAAATAACTGTACATGTAGAAAATAAAAAACAGAGGAAAAACACATGCATGCAACTGTACATGAAGAATTTTTTTTTTTGAAAAATACATGCAGATTAATAATCTCTCTAATAGGCTTGGTACTAATATGATGAAACATCTTCAACTTAGCTCGATTTTCTATATTTCTACTGCTTCTTTCATGTATTATTAATTGAAAGGAAATCGAAATTGATACCTGACCACCCAAAACCATCCATTCTATTTGACACAAAGCTACAAAATTGAATCTTAAAGACACAAGCTTAATAGTCTGGTATCTATGCAATTAAAATCTCAATAGTTTTGAAAAAACTTACTTGATTTGACTTTTTTGATGTATTTCTTAAGTTGATTGGTAAATGGAGGAAATGGAGTCTTAACTTTCACATAGGCTAGCTTTAGAACCATAAAGTTCCTGTGTATCGCTCCCTTTTGTTGACTAGAAGACATGATTAAGTTTGTAACTTCTTGTTCTCGTCCCTTTCTTACGGCACCTGGAGAATGGAAGAAGGTGCTCAGACCACAACTCATCAACAAATAGATAGAAGATAATAAATTGACCAGAAGATGGACATAGTATTTTACTTTCTTCTCTCATACTTGAAATACCATAATTCAAGAACTTTTTCACGATACTCGAAATAGCATAATTCAAGAACTTTTTCACCTCATCTAAGTAGGCTTGGTCGACTTAATTTTCAAGAAAAAGTTGCATCCATTGCTTACTAGGTGCCATAACCTTGGAGAATACATAAAAATTAGATTAAGAAAATATGAAGGATAAGAAAAATCTTAAGATGAACATAATTTGTGATTCAGTAATTGGATTTGATTTAAAACATACAAAGCAAAATGTTTATTATACATACAGTGAAATTTCTTAGTTGACATTTGTAAAAAAAAAATTAAAGTAGTTTTCTTAACTCATTATTCATGCTATATCTTCAGTCATCCATTACTTGAAGTATTTTTCAATGTCAAAACAGTTAGAAATAACAATTCAGATGAGATATACTACTCTACGATTGCTTCCGATAAAAAAAATAGACTCATATTGCTGCAACACTTAGTTGAATCTTTTTCCTTCTAAAAGCTACTTAAAATCTATTATTTAAAGTTGTTTTGGTTAATTTATGGAGATTCAGTTAGACAAGAATGGAGGAACATATGGTGCAGCTATATATTAGAATGTATCTTATTGAAAAATCTTGAGTTTCCCAAGTTAAAAACCCAAATGAAACAATCACTGTTTCTACCTTCTATGTGCAGTACTATGGGAGGTAATTTGTATCAATTCAATTGCTTTTTACATCTTTCATTAGTTCGAGTTGATTTGATTCTAAAATTAGGATCGATTCTTTATATTAAGATGCCATGTTACAGAACATATTGAAAAACATGAGGGTTGAAAATCTTCACTACAATTTTAGACACACACAATACACTGATATGATCTTTTATATTAGATAACTATTCAATGGTGTGATTGAAATTCCTAATTTATTCTAGTTAGATAGAACTCTGTTAGGAATCAGTGGCACGTTACTATGCATGTGGATAAGTTTAAACAACTTTAACCACTTTTCCCGCCTTCTCTGTCAGCTTAAAAGTTGAACAATAGCTCACTTGTTATTCAAGATGGATTTCTCAAGTTTAATACCACTCGCTCTAGCTTCTATCACAAAATTATTTTAGCTCATTGAGCTGCGCGACCTCTGTTCAAGAAAAGTTCACTATTCTCTAACTATTTAGGAACACTAAGTTCTCCTACGATTGATCCCCTTCATTTTTGGGATCTTATCACACTACAAACTTAAATCTATTTTAAAATAAATGAGTAGCTTATCTTAGAGAATAACAGTAACCTGAACAAGAAGAAAAACTCGAACAAAAAAGTTACACGAAGTGAACAAAAAACACACCAAATTAGAGAACAAATAAAAATCAACTCGCGAAAGAGGAGGCATACCTAAGATTATAGTCGACAGAAAACATAGATTCAGTTTGACAAGAATAAAAGAATATATGTTGTTGCTATTAGAACTTATGTTTTTGAAAAATCTCGAGTTTTCAAAGTTTCAAACCCAAATGGAACTATCATTGTTTCTATCTTTTATGTGCAACACCATAGGAGGTAATTTGCCTCAGTTCTAGTTGATTAGATTGTAAACTACAATTGATTCTTTAGAATACACAATACACTATGATATGATCTATTTATATTAGATAAATTTATAAGTGCAATTGCAATTCCTAATTTTTCTTTAGTTAGATAGAAATCTGTTAGGAATTAGTGGCACGTTACTACAAACGTTAATTCGTTTTTAACAACTTCAACCACTTTTTCCGCCTTCTCTGTTAGCCTTAAAAGTGAAAAATAGTTCACTTGTTATTCAAGATGGATTTATCAAATGTAATACAACCCATTCTATCTTCTATCGGAACATGATTTTAGCTCATTGAGCTGCGAGTGCCTCTGTTCAAGAAAAGTTCCCTGTTCTCTTATTATTTAGGAACACTAAGTTCTTCTACCATTGATCCCCTTCATTAATGGGATCTTATCACACTACAAACTTAAATCTATTTTGAAATATACGAGCAGCTTAACTAAGAGAAGAAGAGTAACCTGAACAAGAAGAGTAACTCGAGGAAATCAAACAACACACCGAATAAGAGAAGAATATAAAAATCAACTCACGAAAGAGGAGGCATACCTAAGATTATATTAGTCAGAAAACATATATTCAGCTTGACCAGAATGGAAGAATATATGGTGCTACTATTGGAACTTATCTTCTTGAAAGATCTCGAGTTCTAAAAGTTTCAAACCCAAATGGAACTACCATTGTTTCTACCTTATATGTGCAATACCATAGGAGGTAATTTGCATCGGTTAGAGTTAATTAGACTGTAAAATAATATAATTGATTTTTTAGACATACACAATACAGTATGATATGATCCATTTCTATTAAATAACTTTATAATAGTGCAATTGCAATTCCTAATTTATTCTAGTTAGATAGAAATCTGTTAGGAATTAGTGGCGCGTTACTACGCAAGTGGATAATTTTTAACAACTTCATACACTTTTCCCACCTTCTATGCTGGCCTTAAAAGTTGAACAATTTTTCACTTGTTATTCAAGATGGATTTCTCAAGTTTAATACAACTCGCTCTATCTTCTATCAGAACATTATTTGTTCTCATTGAGCTGCGAGTGCCTCTGTTCAAGAAAAATTCACTGTTCTCTTACTATTTAGGAACACTAACTTCTCCATGATTGATCCCCTTCATTTTTGGGATCTTATCACATTACAAACTTAAATCTATTTTAAAATACACGAGCAGCTTATCTAAGTGAAGAAGAGTAACTTGAACAAGAAGCGTAACTCAAACAAGAAGAGTAACTCGAAGAAAACAAACAACACACTGAATTAGAGAAGAAAACATATATTCAGTTTGACATGAATGGAAGAATATATGGTGCTAATCGACTTTTCCATCTTTCAAACCCAAATGGAACTGTAATTGTTTCTGCCTTTGATGTGCAACACCATAGGAGGTAATTTGCATCAGTTCGGGTTAATTGGATTGTAAAATATAATTGATTCTTTAGACATACACAATTCACTATGATATGATCCATTTATATTAGATAACTTTATAATAGTGCAATTGCAATTCCTAATTTTTTTAGTTAGATAGAAATCTTTTAGGAACTAGTGGCACGTAACTACACACATGGATCTGTTGAACAACTGCAACTATTTTCTTTCACTGTCAGTCGAAAAATCGGAACAATACCTCACTTGTAATTCTATTTTAATACAAAATGGATTTCTCAAGTTTAATACAACTCTCTATATCGTCTCTCAAACACTATTTTAGTTCATTTAGCTGCGATTTCTACTGTTCAAGAACTGTTAGGAACACTCTATTCCCTTAGGATTGATGCCTTTCATATTTTGGATCTTATCACAGCACAAACTTTAATATACTTTAAAAAAACGACCAGCTAATCCAAATGTAAAAGAGTAAATCAAACAAGAGGAGTTACAAATCGCACAAAACAAACAACAAATCATATTTAGAGACGAAAAAAATCAACTCACGAAGGTGGGCAT